CCACCAGACCAGCACTACAGGAAATGTTGAAGGGTCTTCTTTAAGAAGAAGCTAATGAACAAAAGAATCTGACAAACTAAATAGATCCAGAAACACTGACGCAGGCAACAGACAATCATATTTCAGAGGGAAGGGGGGTGGAGGTTGAGAGGAGATTAACCAGAGAAGTTATATGCATATATGCATAACCCATGGACACAGTCAATAATGGGGTGAAGGCCTGGGGAGGGGGTGGGAGCAAGGTGTAGGGGATCAATTGGGGGGAAAAATGGAACACCTGTAATATTTTCAACAATAAAGATAAATTTAAAAAAAAATCACTTGAGACATTATGTGTCTATATGTCTGTGTATTTATTATTGTTTTTCCATTAGAAGGAAAGCTCCATGAAGGCTTTTTGTCTGCCACTCACCAGCATACCCTCAATGCCTAGAAGAGGGTCAGACTCATAGGCCCTCTAAAAGTTTTGTTAAGTGAATGAATATACATGACTTTTAGAAGCACCCTGTTCTAAGTTCTAGGAAGAGTTCCTTTGGTATTTTGGTTGGAATTGCATTGAAATTTTAAATTATTTTGGAGAGAATTTACATCTTTACAATGGTAGTCACCCCATTGTTGAACACAATACATCTCTCCATTTATTTGAGTCTTTTTTGTGTCTTTCAGTACAATTTTATTGTTTTCTCCACGAAGGCCATATATTTCTAATTTTTTTTTTTTAATGGTGTTTTTTAAAGTTTGTAATTTTTTTAAGTTATTCACCTTAGAGTGAGGAAGGGAGGGAGAGAAAGATGGATGTGAGAGAGAAACATTGATCAGCTGCCTCCTGAACACACCCTGACTGGAGAGCCAACCCACAACCTGGGTATGTGCCTTGACTGGGAGTCAAATCTGCCACCTTTTGGTGTACGGAACGACATTCCAACCAACTGAGCCACACCGGCCAGGGCTTTTTCTAATTATTTTATTCCTAAATATGTCATAGTCTTTGTTACTACGGTGAATGAGGTTTTAAAATTATTATTACATTTTCAAATTGTTATTGCTGATATATAGGAAAGTTCTTGATGTGTAAATATTGATCTGGTGCCCTGGCCTGTGTGGCTCAGTTGGTGTTTTGGACTCAATCTCCAGCAGGGGGCGTAACCCATTGATGTTTCTTTCTCACATCAATGTTTCACTCTCTCTCCTTATCTCTTCCTCTCTCTCTAAAATCAATAAAAACATATTTTTAAAAATATGTTGATCTAGTGTCCAGACACTTTGCTGAACTCAGCAATAATTGCTTTGGGTTTTCCAGGTAGACAATCACATCATCACAAATAATGGCAATTTGTCCTCTTCCCTTCCAATTTTTAAACATGTTTGCTTTTAATTTCTTGCTTTAATTGTAACTTCCAGCATATTGTTGAAGAGTATATTGATTCATTTTGGGCTGCTCTGGTATATCATTCAAGATTGGGTCAAGGCTGCGGTAACAACCCCCAAATCTAGCCGCTTATCACAATAACAATTTGTTTCTCACTTACACCTCATGTCCAACACAAGCCTTGGAGCAAGGAGGAGTTCCTTAGTGTTGTTTCTCAGAGACTCAAGCTGATGGAAGCGCTATGCCCTCGTGGACATGTGCTTCTAAGATAACTATGGCAGAAGGAAAGGGCTGGTGAATTACCCACTGACTTTTGGAGCTTCTACTCTGAAGCAATTCGTGTTCTGTCCACTAGTATTTCAAAGCAGGTTCCATGGCCAAGCCTCACTTCCAAAGGGGTAGAGAAGTGTGATCCTACCATATGCCAGAGGACAGCAGGACCACGGGAATGGGTCTGACGCCCCACCACTGCCTGTGATGGAAGTTACCTTACATGTGCTCTGAGTTTCTTGTTAATAACCCCTTATCAAGGTAAGGATTAAGTTCATGAGTTTGTTTAGATGTTGGTAAGTAAAGAGCTTGTCCGTATTGTGCTTGAGTGTTAAATTTTTATCAGATGATTCTATGCCCTCTGAGGTGCCGATGTTATTTCCTCCCTTGACCTGTTGAAGAATTTATACATGTTTTTCGCCCAGAACATCCTCCGCTGCCCTCTTCAAACACTTCTGTTGGTTAACTCCACATTTTTCAAAGCTCATTCATTCACTCAGCAAATATTACTGAGCAACGCAGGTGCGCCAGACGCCGTTCTGCGCACTTGGGGTACACCCGGGAACAAAGCAGGCAGAGGCCCTTGACCCCACCCCCTCCCAGCTCCGCCCCCTCGCCCTGCGCGCCG